CGCACAGTCGAGTCTGTCAGTGTCGTAGGAGCCGTTATCTCGGGGCCTCGGCGGTGTTTCACTCGTAATATTCGTAACCGCGTTGCCGAATGCCGTGACGTTTGACGTGGTTTGACGTCTGCTCCGATTCCGGCGCTACGCACCGCTATTTATTTGACTCACCCCCACGGACGCGAGCGCCCCATCGCGGCGCGTTGTGGCACAACACCGCACGCCGATCACAATCGTGGCCGCCGCGATATTGATTCGCCGCACGAACATACCGCGGCGTTCATACCGTCGCGAGCAAGAAAAAAGTCTTTAGTAAGACATTGAACATCGTTTAAACGATGTTTATAATGAGATTTTAAGTAAAACTTAAGTTAAAACACCATGGAACACAAAAAACTTAAGGCAGTAATGCCCGTGTCACTACTCATTGAAGATTGAGGATTTCGAATTAAGGTTTAGAGTTCAACCAATCAGGTAGTTTTAATTTTAATTCGTATCGTTCTAATTGGCTGAATTCTAATCCGTATTTCGCAATCCTCAATCTTCAATGCGTAGTGTGACATGGGCATAAGGCCGAAATCAGGGTATCAATCAGGAAACTTTATCCCTAGGATGGAAAGAAGAATATGTACCAATCGAAGCTCTCCGTTTCTTTCCCTTCCATGTAATAGAGAACTATGGTTGGTTCAATTTCTTATGCCTCATGTGTTATGCGTTAAGCCCATTCTACATTAGACGCAAGCCGATTGCAAGTTCGTTGCGATAGCCAATCTGAAGCTTGCATTTTGAAATCAACGCTTCATATTGGCTGTCGCAACAAACTTGCGATCGGCTTGCGTCTAATGTAGAATGGGCTTTATGCAAGAGTCTGTGCTCCCCGCTTTAACCCTGAATCTACAATAGTTTTAAGTCTTAAGCCATAAGAAATGGACGAATCATAATTGATTATTCTTCTGAAATTCGACTGTATTGGTCAATTTTTTATGACTTGTATATCCGGACTTACCCGGATCTACAATTGTGTTTTAAGCCTTAAGCCGTAAGAAATAGATCAATTACCCCAGATCTACGAGGTTTTCTAAGCCTTAGTCATTAGAAATTGACAAATTACAGTCGAATCCGAGAAGAATAAGCGACTGTGATTCGCCCATTTCTTATGGCTTAAGGCTTAAAACCATATTGTCAGAGAGAAAGCTGAGAGAGGCCATGCCGGATTTTTTTCCTGTTACGGTTGAAATCGCAGATACACTACCGCCAGTACATCCATTTTCAATTTAAGAACTACGTGACTATAATATATACACTTTCAAACACTATCGATAAAATCGCATCGTCGAAAGTAGATGTGGTTCATCTCTGTACTAAATCCTCAGGACAAAAGCGTGTCGACTATCCATTTCGCATCTCTAAAGCCCCAGCTACATCTATCGTAAGCTCCTTACGATTCTTACGATAGCCAATTAGAAATATCAATGTGTATTGTAACGCTTTTGATTGGCTATAGCAAGGATCGTAAGAAGCTTACGATAAACATTACGATAGATGTAGCTGGGCCTTAACACATGTAAATAAAAATTGTTGAATTTTAATAAACGAAATTGAAAATTCAAATAAGTTAATTTAAGAAATTTTATCTTATAATATCTTATAAAATTACGAAGTTATGTTTCTTTATGCCAATTTTCAGCCCGTTTTATACTTGTAAAAGCTCTGAAAATTAAAGTATATATTTTTAAATAAAAAAATTAAAAGAGTTATTTAGTATATTTGTTATTTTAAATAACTACATTTCTGACTTATTTCTTATCTAATATTTTTAATAAGTTTCCGGAACCTATTTTATATTATTTATTTTAAATAATTTACATGTTAATTTATCAAGCCGTTATCGGCATCATACGTATAAGTTTATAAAATTTCAGAAACACAGAATAATTTGCAGTAATAGTAGCGTCATAAATTAATTTATTAACTGAAAAATTAAATAATGATTATTATTATAGACAAGATATTTAGTACTTTTAGCCAAAGCTGTATTTAGCACAAATTGTTTCACGATATTAAGGAAAGCGTCTTTATATAAAGAACATAGAATATTCTATCAACCTCCATTTAAATATGAACCATTAAAAGGAATAATAAAAATTGAAACATAATGTTGGAATATCAAAAATACCCCACGCGAATAATTATGTTTAAAAGAACCATACAAGTAATATAGTATTGAACAAGTGCCAGAGATGCCAAAAGCAAAGCGCAAAATGTACTAAGATAATAAGTACGAATAATCGAATAAAGATTAATAATTGAATAAAGTTTATGCAAAAAAAACCACGCTAGTAAAAACCTCTTTTTACTTCTTGCCTCTTGACATCACATTGTATAATTAACACGAAATATTTGAAATAATAAAATAATATCAATAATAAAATAATATCAAAAATATGTTGTATGTATAATATGTAATGACAAAGGTGGGGTATGGTATTCTAATAAATAATTACCCGGAGCTCGACAACGATCGCGAACGATCATCGACAAGATCGTGAAGAAATTCAATTGCCACACGCATTGTTTTACGCACGATGAATTCCGCGTCGTTGTCCCGAAAAAGCATCGTAGACACTTGTCGAACTCGCGCGTTTGAATTCACGAAATTGACGACGAAAGACGCTATATGTTTGCCGTGCTACGAGTCGCGTGAAATCTGTAAAACATCGTCACAACGCGCGGAATTTTCGCGGAATGGACTGTATGACTACTGCTTAAAATACGATCCCGAATGCCAAGACGGCGCATAATGAGTCAAAA